CCGCTCCTCCCCCGGCCTGCCCAGGCCTGGCCTCCCGGCCCCCCTCACCGTGCAGTCAGTCTCGGGCCCCACCCTGCGCACTGGCCCGAGTTGTAGAACGCGGTGTGGGCGGCGCCCCCTGGGTCTGTGCAGCAGCAGAGCCCTGCGTCTGGAATGCGACGAAGGAGGGGGTCCCTCTGGCAGGGTCCCGGGTGGTGGTGATGGGTGTTGCCTCCAGCCAGGTGGGTGGAGGGGCCCGGCTGGGCCTCCCTGGTGATCAGAGCCTGCCGGCTGCAGTCTCCCTGGCACGTGTGGTGTGGCCACTTGACAAGCTATTCATGGGCCGGCTGTTGGGACTGTTTCAGCTTCCACTGTATTATGTAGCTCTCCGCACGTGGGGCTGATTTCGGAATTTACTTACGGCTTTACGTCACGGACGTCTGCAGAAAGTTCACGGCGTTTATTGCATTCATGGTTTTATGCCCTGCTTCCTTCCGAAGGGGGTTATAAAAATGTACACTGACGGACAATGGTGTTAACTAAGGTTGAAACGTGTGTGCCGTGCTCCCAGCACTTGGGGAAACCTGTTCAGCAGCGTCTGCAAAGCTACTCGTGCACGTAATCAGTGACCTAGTAATTCTGTGCGTGTCCCCAGGAGAAGTGGGTACACACGTGCACAAAGGTGGGGGTAAGAATGTTCACGGCGGCGTTACCCACAATAGCCATAACCGGGGGTGGCACAGGTGTGCACCCCTGGAGGGGGTGAGTCCGCACCTCGCGCAGGACTGCACGCGATGAGGAAGGGCTCATGATGCTACGTCGCAGCATCTCGGGCGAACCTCACAGGCGTGAGGCTGAGCAGGAGAAGCCAGGCACGGAGAGCACGTACCATCTGCTTTCGTTTTCGTGAAGTGAGGCGAGCTTACCTGTGCTGCCAGCAGTCAGCCTGGCGGTTCCCCGTGAGGGGTCCTGGCCGAGGGGGCAGGAGAGAGGGTTCTGAGTGGTAATTACCCAGGTGTACACATTTAGGAAAATTCGTAGCTCTGAATACTTAAGGATAATGGGGTTTACTATGCGTAAGTTATGCACTGAGTAAAGGAAAAAAATGAGAAAACACAAGCACCGTTTAATGGTGGGAAGGACACGGGGATCGTAGCGGAGATCCTAGACTTGCTGCAACTTGGCACAAAATTTCGCTCTGAGCTTCCTGGCAGCTAGGATGAAGAGGGGAACCCATCAGGGGCCCAGCTCCTTATTCACTGGAGGATGGCTGTTTCCCTAACCACAGACCCAGGGAGGAGTGGCGTCATCAGAGTGGTCCAGTGGCGGGAGGCCCTTCCCCGACAGCTAGCTGGTGCTGCTCTGACCTCCTGCCCACCTGCAGGGTACCAGAAGCTGCTGAAGGACATGGAGGAGGGCCTGATCACGTCAGGGGACTCCTTCTACATCCGGCTGAACCTGAACATCTCCAGCCAGCTGGACGCCTGCTCCATGTCGCTGAAGTGTGATGACGTCGTGCACGTCCGTGACACCATGTACCAGGACCGGCCCGAGTGGCTGTGCGCGCGGGTCGACCCCTTCTCGGACCACGACCTGGATGTGGGCACCATCCCCAGCTACAGCCGGTGAGGCCACAGCCGGTGCAGCCGAGGGGGCCGTGCACAGGGGCTCACGGGGAGCCGTGGCCTGCAGAAGAGCGAGCCTCTCCCCGTTCCCTCTTCCTCCACGAGGCCCTCCCTGCCTCCCTGGGGTGTTGCTCTCTTAAATACCGTTGCTTCAGTAAATCTCGGCGTGCCCGATTTCCATCTTACTAGTCAGCTTGGCGCTTGATTTTACGTTCTCTTGTGTCCACCAGTCATCTCCCCTGTAGCCACCCCCCCCCCCAGCCTGGCCAGACGCCCCAGGCAGCTGTAAGGCTCCCAGAGCTTCTAACACCATTGCCCAGGACAGCCCTGCCAGGTCAGTAGACCTGAGTTACAGATGAGGAAACGGAGGCTCAGGGAAGTTAAGTGACTGCCCCAGCACCACAGTGAGTCAATGTTGAGTCCTCTCTGGAGTAGCCCGGGGTTCAGAGCCCACACCCTAAATAGGGACCCTGCCCAGGCCAGGCCCCCATCAGCTTCCCCGGCCTCAGCCCTGGGGTCTGCTCCAGCCCGAGGCTCCAACCCGCCTCCTCGCCTCCCCAGAGCCCAGCAGCTCCTCCTGGTCAAACTGCAGCGCCTGATGCACAGGGGCAGCCGGGAGGAGGCAGACACGGCCCACCACACCCTGAGGACCCTCCGGGTAGGTCAGCCAGCACCCTGCTGGCGGCGCACCACCCCCTGGGGCCTTCTTCGGAGAGGGTGCCAAGTGGGAGGCATCAATCTCAGGATGGTGGGTTGCTGGGGACTGGGTTCCTTAGGAACATGCCCCGCTTCCAGAAGGGACTCTGCCCTCTGCGCCCTCCCCCAACTGTGCTGCGGCCTCCTCTTTGCTCTCTGGTCTCTGTTGGCACAGGTCCCGTGGCCCTTCCTGCCGCTGAGCTAAACTCCTGCCTGGAGTGCATTCCGCCTTCGGCTCCGAGGCGGGCTGGGGGACGGCCCGTTCTCAGCAGCATTAATGTGCTCATGTGGCCGACCAAGCCCAGCAGGTCTGACGGGATGACAAACTGATTTCAGAACACCCTGCAGCCAGAAGAACCGCTTCCCACCACGGACCCCAGAGTCAGTCCCCGCCTGTCGCGAGCAAGCTTCCTTTTCGGCCAGCTCCTGCAGGTACAGCTCCCCCGCGTGCCCACTGACTTTTTGATCACATTTTGCTGTGGCCCTGCCCTCTCCCGTCCCATTTTATCCTCACAGTGACTGGTTGGTACACAGTCTCTGCACCTGTTGGAAGAAACCTCACTTTCATAAAAGATTTGAGGAAACTTAGGGCTAAAAGAAATTTAAACATATTAGGTGTTCAAATATTAGTAGAAAAATCAGAAACAGTGAATCAGGAGAGGAAAACAAGCATTCCAGAGACCCAGGTCAGTTTAGTCCCTTAGATTGAGCTTTCAGTTTCCCTCTGAGCATCCCAGCAGCCAAGGGGAAAAGGGAAACCCACAGATTATTTAAATCTTATCTGACACAGAAATGTTTTAGCTCTTTGGGACCAGAAAGAATCTTTTCCTTGTACTTAATCCTAAAAGGAAGGATTTTTTTTCCTTTTTGGCATAGATCATTACATGAGGAACGTTTAATAGTCTAGTTGGTGATGTATTCAGGAGTGATTTCACATAAACGCCGAAGTATCCTGTACAGCCTTTCTCTCTATCACCAGCCAACAAAAGCTGAGGGAATACTATTAAGATGTGTAGCCTTTCAAGGATGTTCCTGTGTCGGCACCGTGCTAATTAGGCCCCAGTGGAGCTGGTGTGTCATTCCACTGCTCCATCCTAATGTTGGAACATAGGGAACCCAGAGGCATGGTTCATGATGTGACCCTAAAACCCAGGGAGAGGGGAACAGTCAGCAGGAAGACACTCACGGAGGTGGAAGGGAGCCCTTGTGAAGTCTGAGGCCGTCCCGAAGGCAGGACCACGTGAGACCACACATTATTGTGTCTACACATCACACATGAATCCAAAGCCCTGAGCTTCTGGGTGACTCAGCCAAAGGCCAGTTAACAACAGAGTGAGGCCAACATCCCAGCTCCCTGGAGTCTCCTCCCTGCAGAAGGAGGGTAGGGAGAGACTCAGAATAGCCCAGGCAGTATGGTGCCCACCCCTCCACCCTCCGGGACTCAACTCTGAATTATAGAGGGATGCAGGCACTCCCCTAGACCACTCGGGGATGCTGAGGCCAGAGGTGAAGTCACCTGCTCCCACCCAGCAGGTGGGCAGTTTGTCGGCGGTCGGCCAGTGGAGGCTCCCAGCCAGGAGTCTTCTGCAGCTGGGGCGCTCCAGGCCCCATGGTGCCAGCAGTTCCCCCAGACATGGGTGGGATTGCAGAGGGCGCTCCATGGAGGGCCTGTTTGCGACCAAACCCCACCTCCCGCCGCCATGGCAAGTCATGCCCACCTAGGGAGGAGAGAGTGCATGTTTATTCACTTACTTACCTACTACCAGCATCCCGAACTTGAAAAACTTGTGCCACCTGCTAGGGGTCTGCTGTCGTTAGAGGGGAGGTGACTGACCCAGGCCCCCATGGCAGAGCTGGGACCTGAACAGAGGTCTGCCCCAGCACGGGTTGGGAGCCTCCCGCAGCCCCCTCTGCCTCCAGTTCGTCAGCAGGTCCGAGAACAAGTACAAGCGGATGAACAGCCATGAGCGCGTGCGCATCGTCTCGGGCGGCCCGCTGGGGAGCCTGGCCCGGTCCTCGCTGGACACCTCCAAGCTCCTGACCGAGAAGCAGGAAGGTGTGGTGCCAGCCGCCCAGCCCCTCCCTGCTCCCCACGTCCGGCGGCCTCGGGGGGTGTGGGTGGGCCACAAGGGTCCCCGAGAACAGTGCTGGAACGGCTGCTCCCCGCAGGGGGCTGCTGCCCTGGGAGGAGCCGGCCGGCCCAGGCCACGAGGCCCTCAGGGCCTCCCGGGGCGGCACCCCGCTACGCGTGTCCCCAGCCGCCGCTCGCTGTACTTGGCTCAGATACCCGCGTTAACTGCAGCTGTTTGCTGTGAGCGTGCACTTACTGACTCCTCTCCCCACTGAGTGCTGCTCACTGTGTATCATAAAGTGGGCCAGGGGCCACCCAGTGCACGGTCCCCCATGGGAGGCCCGCCCCCCAGCCTGCGTCCCAGGGCCAGGCCCCTCCCTGGATGGCTCAGCACCTTCTCAATTGTGTCCCAAGGGTGTCACACGCTTCTTGTGGGCCTCCCGCCGCCACTGCCTCCTTCTCCACCACCTCCCCTCCTCCCCCACCTCCCCCTCCTCATCCTCCCCAACCCGCACCATCGCCCCTCCTGGCACGTGAGCAGGGCTGTCTGCCTGGCTTGGTGCTGTCGCCCCAGCTCCCAGAACACAGCCCACAGATCACTCCACAAACTTTCTTGGGCGGCCCAAGGGCGGCCCGGGCTATGGGCTCGTGTCGCACTGTGCAGTGGTTTTTGAGGACTACACCCCCAGTGTCCTCCAGCCCCCAAGCAGCTTTCCAGCAGGGCACCCGGGTGTCCCCAGCCCCAGCCACCCCTTCCCTGTCCCCTCCCAGAGCTGGACCCCGAGAGCGAGCTCGGCAGGAACCTCAGCCTGATCCCCTACAGCCTGGTGCGCGCCTTCTACTGCGAGCGCCGCCGGCCCGTCCTCTTCACGCCCACCATGCTGGCCAAGGCGCTGGTCCAGAAGCTGCTCAACTCGGGGGGCGCGATGGAGTTCACCATGTGCAAGCCAGGTGAGCACCCCACATGCGGTACCCACCCCCTCCTCCTCCTCTACCTCCCCCTCCTCCCCCTTGTCCTCCCCTTCCTTTGTCCAGTGAAACTGATTGCTGAGAAGCCACATCCTGAGTGTTTATTAACCAGATCTTCTGCGGGCTGCCGTGGGGAGCTTAAAATGGGACCCTGACCTTGCCCCCCATCGAGAAGCCTCCGGGTCTAGTGGAGGAGTCAAGGTTCATTTAAACGTGGCCAGGAAGGGATCGGACACGCAGCTCTGTGGAGCTCTGTCCCTGGACGGGACGGTTGGCCCAAGACCACCTGTGCTGCCCTCAGGACTGGCCCCCTCTCCACAGATGTTGTCACGAAAGACGAGTTCCTCAGAAAGCAGAAGACAGAGACCATCATCTTCTCCCGGGAGAAGAACCCCAACGCCTTTGAGTGCGTCGTCCCTGCCCACATCAAGGCCGTGGCGGACAAGGTGAGGCAGGCCGGGGCCGGC